CTTGAGTCCGCAGGCCGACGCTCTATCCACTGAGCCAAACTGGTTAGGGCTCAACAGATATTTGTTGAGTACAAGCAGCAGGCACTATATAGGTGCTGTGGCTACAAAGGTTCATAGACATAGTCTAGTGGGAAAGATAAGACCGGCAAGCAAACCAGCAGGACTACAGTGGTCAGGGTTGGCTAGAGTTACGCTCAGAATGTGGAAACAAAAAGGCCTGAGCAAGGCTTTCCAGAACAGGAGAAAAAAAGAAAACGGGCTTGCTCCTGAACAGGTGTCAGGGACAGCTAAGAGAAGGACTGAGATGCTGACTAGTGGGCCCAGGACTGGGGACAAATGTGGACCTGGATTACAGTGGTGATTGATAACCGTGGTGATAATAATAATTTGTTCTCACAGTTGTTGACTTTAAGCATCAGGTGAAACTTTATTTGGGAGTATTTGAGAAAATAAATTTTTGTGACAAAAGAAGCCGCTTCTTGCTTATCTTCTGCCTCTCCGCTCTTTGTTGACTTCTCTTGATGTTAATTTAGGTAAAAAAAAAAAAAAAAGCCACCACTTGCAAAAGTGCTTTGGTACTCTGGCATAATTTCAAAGAAATCTCTTTCCCCATTTAGTTAACTACATTTCCCCAGGAAAAAGTCTTCTCTGTCAACGTAACATCCTTTAAACAGGACTCCTGCTGGCCGGTCCTTGTATCTTGGGATGGCAGCTGTGAACATATATACTACTGATTGTTAATGTGTGATATAGACTCGACTGGAGCATGGCACTAATTGGTTTGAGAGCTAGATATAGACAATGCTGTCTTAGAGGAGCTTGTGTAGATAGGCCTCGTCTCGGGGTTAATTCTGCTTGACAGCACATCAGCAGCATCTTGAGAGTAATTACCTCACAGAAGTTTTCCCACAGCCGAACCGAGAGCTTCAAAGGCTTCTGAATTTACAACCAGTATTAACCTATATCTGAAACATAATGTTCCCACAAGGGCTTGGATTTTTTCCCTCCTACTTATTAAACATATGGGGTTACCAGGCTCATTTACTCTGTGAAGAACTTAGTGAAAATTACTTGGTGTTAAATAATTAAAAATCTTTAATAATAGGTCATGAGGATAGTTTTAAATTTGTGGGTTTTTAAAAATTACTTTATTATATTACTGAAAAAGTTAATCTGTAGAGACTGGGTGCTTTAACTATATACATATATATATTTATATACCTTCTTTCTCTCAAAAACAAGTGAAAAGTTAATATCTTTTCCATATTGTGCTATCTCTATGGGTATCTGCATGTTTAGGGGACCTAGGGTAATGCATGCATTTAAAATGGTTAAAAATAAATATCTGTTTACATTTTTAAAGCTATTTTACTTGTTGTTGACCATTGTACTGAAATCTGTAACTGTTGCATCTACCCCTTGCCCTCCCCATAAAATAACAGTTATTCTTTAATAAGCGATTTTTATATTGTAAAAAATGTCTTTCCCTTTGCAGGTCAGAAACCAAATTTGACTCTGGTTCAGGTATGTTTACATTAATAATGTTATTCTGAGTATATTTTATTTACATTATTCTCTGAGGAGTAATTCATCAGATCAAGAACCATTTTGATTTTAAACAGACGAGGCAGTCTCTTTTCAAAACATGAACCCCACCTCAAAGCAGGGCTCTGAGCTGCTTGGAATCCTCACTTGAGATGTTCACGATGGGATTCTCAATAGTTCTGCAAGAAGCATTAATGCTCTCTCTCTGCAGTTTTATTTTAAAAGCAGAAGTGGGGGTTGTGCAAAGTCATTGCTCAAAATAGAGTTAGTCTCTCAGAGAACAAAGCATCCCGAATAGTTTGAAGATTCTCTGCAAGTGTCTTGTTATCAAATGTGGGTAATATTTACATCTAACCCAGTAAACTATAAAGAGTTTTAGCCAATAGAAATAGATATTTGTCTATGACTTATTATTTACTTTTTAGTTGTTTTCTTGGGGGGGTGGGTAGTGGAAAACTAAGGTCACCGTAAGCCATTATTTGGTATCTATCAAAACAAAATTTATATTCTCAGAAACAGTGGCATACCAGCCTCATTATTGGTTGTTTTCTTCTTATTAAGCACGAATGTAGCTATATAATCCTTATGTTTGACTGTGTCTCTGTGTCACTTGCTGAGGTCTGTGAGCCTTGGAGTTTCTGATGATGTTTACAATTAAAGCACAAAAATGGCTTCATGTATGGTGCAACGGAATTACGTTCTTTCACGAACTGTTAATGGATAAATAAACATTAACTTTCTATTCCAGGAGAAATAATTTGCAGAGAAATATGTAACTTATTAAATAAAAGTAACATTCCTACTTTTTTAAAATAAAGGTTTTTGTTTATTATGTCCACAAAGAAACCATATACACTGAGTGGCCAGATTATTATGACCACCTGACATTTGTAGGCAAATTAGCTATAATTTCGTGCTGAAGTTGCTAGAGAGCCAGACCATTATAAATAGGGAAGCAGGTTGTTTACCACAACAGTAGAAGTGATTCTTTTCTGAAGATATGGTTAAACAATGCGATTTAACAGCCTTTTAATGTTGGATATATACACACACACACACATACATACATACATACATACATACACACACACACACACACATATACACACACTGAGGGGACAGATTCTCC